TATTTTTTTTTCTTGTTGCTAGGCGGACAGATTTAATGTACAAAACACATCAAAAAACACATAAAAAAAAACAGGGAAAACGTAATACAATGGTTTTCTGCAGTGTTTCCATTGAAGTCTATAGAAACAAAAATGCTACTTTTTGCATTCAAAAAAGTCCCTAAGACCCTTTCCATAAATTGCAGTGGGTGAAAACACACATGTGTGGAATATGTCTCATAGGAAATCATGTTAAATGTACTGTACTGCATTTCAGCAAAACGCTGTGAAACCTAGGGGTTAGAAATACTACCTTTTGTATCACTTGCCCCTCCCTTTTAGACTGTGTAAGGTCTTAGCAGCAGGCCCCTCTTGTAACTAAATTGTATTGTAACTGTACTGTCTAACTATATTTTGCAAAGCAAACATAAACTGTTTGTACTACAAAAATCCTGAATAGTAATAATAATAATATTAAAACAGTGTATATGCTAGCGCAGATTAAAATGTACCAGTATTAAATATAATTTTATATTTTGGAAGAATCTTAGATTGTAAGCTCTAACGAGCGGGGCCCTCTGAATCCTGTAATTGTACTGTAATGCATTTATGTTGTGTAAAGTGCTGCGTAAACTGTTGGCGCTATATAAATCCTGTATAATAATAATAAATACAACAGCAATAACAGCAAATTACTGAAATAGATATATTTCTTGTGATAGTAGTAAAACTTTGCAAAATGTAGCCCTGGCTAAAATAAACAAAATACGATGCCCTGTATTTTTTCACTGAGTCTGCCTACATACAGTATATAATGTATTTTAGCAGTGGCTTCTTCTTTCTTGCTGGTGTAAGCAGTGCTTGTAAAACACTCCTACCAAGATGCTTAAAAAATACAATAAAATAGCTATAGTGATTAATCTTTAGGAAACAACAATTTCGGCTTTTTACCCTAGACTTTACCAACTGCACTTTGGATTGCAGCAAACTAAACTGATCTATTTATAGCCATAAAACAGAGCTCCATAAAGAGAACAAAAAAGCAGCAACACTGACGATCCAGGGGAAATAAAACAGCTTAAATGTCCAGCTGAAAAATGTGTTTTTAGATTTACTCGACCATTTTGTAAAATGGAGAGGAGAGGAAAAGTGTTGGATATCATTGTACTTATTATTGTATTTATTGGCTGAGAAGACTTTGCACAAATCATCACTGCAGACTCACAATAAACTACAGTAAATTTCCAAACATTATGAGATTAAAACTATGAACAAGGCGATTCATAAATCCTAACGAATTGCCACTTGTATAATATGTAGGTTTTCTGAATGTGTTTGCATCAGCATAAAGGTCTACTGGCACTTTTCAGAAGAGATTCAAAGCAATTCCCAATCCCAATCGGGAAGATTTGTCTTCAGTTCTTAAATGCCCTGTGAAGCAGGTAAAAAGCAACCAAAGCAGGGAATCTAGGGCCCAAAGAACAGCCAACTTTAATGTTCCTGCAGTAAACCATGGGAGCAATGTAATGAGTCAAAACTGTGCAGCAGTCCATCATTTCACAGGGGAGCATATACTTGTACACAGTTGATGTCTGTGTGGTGGGCCATGCTGCTACTCTGTCTAGAGCTTAATTCTGCCCAAATCCATTGGGTTAGTGGGGCAGGGAGTTTTTGTTCACTTCCCATCCTGCTACCTATACAAGAAAGGGAAATTTCTAATGAACATAGGCATCAATAAAAACCTGACCAAAGTTCTAACTCCTTTACAATCTGTTCAAGACTGAAAAAATACAAGAAATGTGAGCTGGAATTTCATACTGTATAAATTACATTTTAATGACCTCCAGCTATGACTCAGGTCCACCAAATTCTATCTACCCGGCATAAAGCAGCTCACATGTCAAGTATGTGCCAGTTGGGAGGTCATGTTGTCAAGAGTCAAGAGTACTGATTTTAGTTGATATTTTTAAGTTCTCCTTCTATCTGTCTGGTTTTGCTCCCAACTCTAAAACTAACTGTTGTGTTAAAGTATATTTATAGCCTAAAGTTTTTTAAAAAAGCAACAGAAAGTAAGAAGAATTCCCCTAGACCAGGGGTGCCCAACCTTTTGAAGAGCGAAGGCCACTTGAGTGACTTGGTAAGCGGTCACAGGCCACAGTGAGCAGAGTGGGTGGATGTCATGTGCATGTCCACTCTGCATATGCAGAGCACACATGGACACAGTCTGCTCTACTCTATGGGCTCTCCGATCCGACCAAAGGGAAGGGTACAATCCTATTCTGTTTTTTTTAGCAGATCAGATAAGTCTGTTTACATCTGCTGCGCCATAGAGGTGAATAGAGGGTTTGAATGGGTCTGCCTGAAAAACGGACAGGCAGACCCAATTGGTCCGATCTTGTGACAGGGCCTAAGGCTGCTTTCTTAGTGATGCACTGCGGTTTACCTGCAACGCAGTGCACCTGTGGCTTTCCTGTGGTTAGCTGCACTTTGCCATAGACTTCTATTATTTCCTGCAGGTGTGGTGCGCTTTCTGAAAGCGCTCCAATCCCGCAGGTAATAACAGAAGTCTATGGCTCAGTGCAGGTAACTTGCAGGTACATTGTGGTGCACCTGCGGATACGTTGGAAAGCAGCCTAGTAACCATTGCAGAAGAGATATGCCCATATATATCGTTTGATTTTATAATATAAACTGACGTTTAATAATAATCCTGCATTCAGAAACCTCCCTTGCTACAGGTATTGCCAGTTATTGCTGTCCCAGGCAGAGTGCGATTGGTATCACTCCATTTCGGCTCCATTTAGAACACTGATGCTCAGGGATGGCGGGTCAGGAACCCACAATCTGGGTTTGCTGACCCGTCAAACTTGCTGCTTGGATTCCCCTGTTTATGACTTTGGATCGATATCGACTATTCTCTGAACCCTGTCTGCCTTTTGACTATGGATTGAACCCTGACTACTCTGAACCCTGCCTGCCTTGTACCTGGAGTGTCACTGTAAAAAAACTCTGTCTGCCAACCACAAGTACCTGTGCTCAGTTTGCATCTGTCCCAGTGTGGTAGCTGGGCACTAAAGCATTGTGTATAAGTCCTGGGGGCAACCGAGTACTGGTAGACCTGCTTGCCTTGCGGGAAAGGGGGCTGCTATAGGTGAAGAACACAGAAGCCAGCTATAGTGCCTGACCACCTGTTGTTAAGGGGAAGTGTGACAGGTGCAAACAGACAGCGGAGTCAGTTTACTCCCGGACATCCAAAGAGCAGATCAGGCTCTGTCCGTGTTCCCTATGCATAAACTGAGTGGACATGGATGTGTCCACTCTGATCAGCAGACAGATCCCCTGTTGATCTAAATGGAGTTTGCCCCATTTGAAAGCAGCTTTACTACTTTCAATAAAAGCTAAATTACAGCTCTACAAACTGTCAAACAAGAATGAAAGATTTTTCTTTCTGGAATTTACTGCATGCCAGTCATCGTCCATATCATATCGCTTTTACAAAAAGATTGATTACCTACAAATTATAAAATATGTCTGGTCTACTCTGCAGTTAAATATCAAGTCAACACAATAGGAGGCTTACATTGCTTGCTATTGCTGTAAAGTTGAAGTACAATAACTAGTAAACACATGGAGCCCACACACCTGAGAGATTATACAAGGATGACAGATTAAAGGGCTATACATGAAAAGCTGAAATAGAATTAACAATGAATTCCTGTGGATGCTGTTGATGCCTAAGGCTGGAAGTCAACCTTCGGTCTACCCAGATCAATGCTTGAGGAATGAATGAGCATTTGAAAAGCCACACTCAGAAAAACACTTAATCAAACACATTCTAAACTATAACAGCCAGACAATCAGCTTCGTCTTTTTGATGATTCATACAGAAGTCTGAAAACTGACCTCACCACCAACTCCCACAGATCTGTATTCTAGTCTGTGTTTAGTATAATCCTTTTTTTTTATTACTACCTGCAAAGTCATTTGCTCAATGGTATGCACTGCATTGTATGGGAGGCTACAACAAAGTATCCTATATCCATCACTGGTACTATGAGTCTAGTTCTTATGTTTCTACTAAGGTCAATCCAGGTAAGCATCTGATTGTGTCAGAAGCTGAATGCCACGGTGTGTTATATAGGACAATACTGCAACGTAAGACACAGCAATACAAGAGTTGATATATAATGGTCTGTAGTTGAACGCTGTACAGCGCTACCCTCATGAAGGCTGCTGTTTATCTAGGTACCCTTAAGCTTTGCACAGCCAGGCAACAGACATTTTCCAAACATTCATCCACAGTTAGTGAGCAGGCTGCTGCAACCAAAAATAATAAATGCATATTTTTTTACCTGCAAAAAAATGTGCATTCATTATTTTTGGTCAAAGGTGAACTCATCCCTTAATTAAATTGGCAGAGAAGCCAGTCTGTATATTCAGTAAAGCATGTTTGTTATACTCACTGTGGAACCTAAGGGGTTAATCCTCTGCATTGTGTAAAAAATCAGTTTGACCCTGACTTCTCTGATCCTCCCCTTCTTCCAGTGTCCCCCTCCTATATCGTGTGGAGTCACTCTGCACATGCTCAGTTTGGTGTGTATTGCTAGAGAGGTTTTTTTTTTCTTGGGAGAGTACATGTGATCAGCACAGGACCAATCAGATCTGTCCAGACAGAGGTCATGGGTTCTGCATCCTCCTAGAGAAGAAAGAAAACTCCTCCTACATGCTTTAACCAGTGTTCTGCTGAACACTGATATAATTTACAAGACTGCTCTAACTGCTGATGAGAAAAAATATTTAGCAGTTTATATTTACTAAAACAATTGCATTTCCATGTAGTGTGTACTGTGGGAGACCATATAGAGTAAATGCAGGGTCCTGAGTTGGTTCTCTTATTCTGGGAGGACGTCATATGACGTCCTCCCATTCTCAACGCGCATGCACGGCTCAGGGAGCGCACAGCACGGCGATTGGCGGTGCGCTATGTCCCTCGGACACAGCGGCTCACCGATCACGGAAAGAGCCGAAGATGTCGGCTCGGTCATGTGATCAGCTGTATCCAATCACAGCTGATCACATGTAAACAGGGAAATGCCGGTTATCTGCATTTCTCTCCTCTCTGAGCTGTCATGCTGACAGCTCGAGAGGAGAGCCGGTAATCAGCTTTCCGCGGAGGGGACATCTGCACTGATCATCAGGGCACTGATGATCAGTGTGCCCTGATGATCAGTATAGCTCCAGCAGTGCCACCTGTCAGTGTCCATCAGTGCCTTGTGTCAGTGCTCATCAGTGCCTCGTGCCAGTGCCCATCAGTGCCACATCAATGCCACATATCAGTGCCTACCAGTGCACATCAATGCCACATATCAGTGCCCATCTGAGCTGCCTTTCTGTGTCACCAATCAGTGCCACCTATCAATGCCAATCAGTGCCGCCTATCAGTGCCAGTCAGTGCCGCCTATCAGTGCCAGTCAGTGCCACCTATCAGTGCCAGTTAGTGCCGCCTATCAGTGCCGCTTATCAGTACCATGTATCAGTGCTGCCTTGCAGTGCCCATCAGTGATGCCTGTCAATGCCCATCAGTGCCTCCTCATCAGTGCCCATCAGTGCCACCTATCAGTGTCCATCAGTGCAGCCCATCAGTGCCCACCACTGCAGCCTCATTAGCGTATATCAGTGAAGGAGAAAAATCACTTATTTACAAAATTTGATAACAAAAACTAAGAAAAAACAAAATTTTCAGTGGTTTTTGGTTTGTTTAAGAAAAAATAAAAAACCCAGAGGTGATTACATACCACCAAAAGAAAGCTCTATCTGTCACCAAAAAAAAATGATAAAAATTTCATATGGGTACAGTGTTGTATGACCGCGCAATTGTCATTCAAAGTGCCACAGCGCTGAAAGCTGGAAATTGGCCTGGGCAGGAAGGGGGTATAAGTGCCCCGTAGGCTAGCGGTTAAACTGCGTAGGGGTTTTTTCACTGTCAGAGCAATAAGCATGGAGAACTTGCTTCCACAATCGGTGGTGACAGCGCGAAGTATTGATATTCAAAAAAACTCTTAGATGGGCATCTTAGCGAACATAATATACAGGAATATGAGATATGATCTTTGACATGAGCAAACACACACCCACATAGGTTGAACTGGATGGACTGGCATCTTTATTCAACCTTACAAACTATGGAAGTATGTTATTTTTATTAGGGGAATATAACTTGGATAGGATAATAGGGATTTTGGGATGCCCAACTTGACTGAAACAATGCAAGGGGACAACCTTATTCCTGTTTATAGAAACAGATCCTGGACTATTCTTTTGCTTAAAATCCATCAGACTTTGTGGATCAGTAGCAACAGCCCTTTACGGGCGAGGAACTCAAAGCCCCTTTGAAATCAACTTAGCTTTTTGTAAACTACATGCAGAGATGTATCCTCTCCCCTGTAGAACAGCTCCCAGCTACACAGCCTGCAGACACTACCAGCCCTCCTCGCTGCTCTTAAGATTTCACAGGACAGGGATAAAGGATTAAGTACAGCACTATCCTTTGAAAGCTTGCTACAAGTGGCAGTCTTTTCCCTTGTGAATCCCAGGGTGTACTGATGTACTCACTCTGTCCTTTTTGCTCCCACTGCTCCCAGGCCTTGATCCTGTTCATGCCAAACTGCTGAATGGATCCTTCTGAGCCAACCTAAGCCCAGCCTAGAAGTCAGTCCCCTCCCCCTCCTCAGACCTAGGGGACCCCTACCAGGCCACTGACAGTCTCCTCAGCACTCCATCTTCCACCAGACTCCCCAGCCGGCCTGACTATCTCATATTTATGGGCTGGTCCACCACTCTACCAGGGCCTCCAAACCTGGGGTTGGTTAGACTTCCACAAACATGCAAATTAGGTCTCCACGTCTTCTGCCTACTGGCTTCTGGAAGATTCCCATCATCCTCCAGAACCAGGTGGAGGCGATAGGGTCCCAACCTGTTAACTCATCCAGCTTAACCAACAATAAAATTAAAATTTGAGAGTTAGGAATTACAAAATACTGGGGTGCCGTGACGAGGCTCTGTAGCTTACGCATGTATTTGCAAATGTGTGCTAACTAAAGCCCTGTTTTTAACGCATACTGTTAGACAGGTTAATTCAATTTGTTTGCAGGATGGCTGGCAAGTTAGAGCTGCAAATTTTTCTTTTTTGTTGTTTGACATGCGTTGCCCTTCCATGTGCTCCTCGCTGTGAAGGCCAGTTATAGACTGGGGCAGTGGCCATTTTTTGTACTGTTGAATTGTTGGTCGAGGGGGGGCGCACTGCACACCTTAGCTGCCATTGTGCTACATGCTGGGTGTCCAGTGCGCTCCTGTACCTTTAAGGAGGGGTGGGCTCCCTCAGGTCCATCTGCCCTTGGTCTATCCATTAAATACATGTGCCTCTACTATGGGGGCTCTTAAAATTGGAGAGTTAGGAACTACAGAATACTGGGGTGCCGTGACGAAGCCCTGTAGCTTACGCATGTATTTGCAAATGTGTGCTAACTAAAGCCCTGTTTTTAACGCATACTGTTAGACGGGTTAATTTGGTTTGTTTGCAGGCTGGCTGGCAAGTTAGAGCTGGCAATTTTTCTTTTTGTTGTTTGACATGCGTCACCCTTCCATGTGCTCCTTGCTGTGAAGGCCAGTTATAGACTGGGGCAGTGGCCATTTCTTGTATTGACCAACACTTAATCACAGAGTCACACAATTACCATGAATCATACTCAATAGCGTTGCCTACACTATTCTAGTTGCACATTAGAGGGTGCTACATACAGTTTATAAATTGCAGCTCCTGAAGTGTACAGTTGTGCAGGCTCCTCTCATATACTGCAATTATTTCTCTGATTTCCTTGAACACTGAACGCTTCCCTGTCCAATAGACTCTACAAGAAGTTAGTAGAAATATCTCCACGGTGAGGGTCAATTCCCTTTTAGGCAGCTGTCACTGGAACAAGTGTCCTCATTGGAAGATTTTCCTTCCCATTCCACTGACACCAGTAAAATGTTGAATTTCACCTAACTCTCTATCCTTGTGGCAATGGTGGTGAAGTCAAATTAAAAGAGTCACTCTCCCCAGCAGAGGCAATGACAACAAAAAAACTCAACAGAAGTTCTAACCCCATCATCTAAAAAAAAAATGGCTAAAGATACACCTAAAATTCAAAGAGTGGCTTAAGCATGTAATACCTTCCCTTGTCCTCTCCTTCCCCATGATCAGCATGCAATAAACATTTTTCAATTAAATTATTTTGTTTTTCAACAAATACCTCTTTGGGACCTAGTGGCATCATCATTGGGTACCTATTCAGAATTTCCTCCAAATTTGATGGGATGGGCTGGTAGGCACTTATTAAAGAATACATCCCCAGGATCCCTTTAAATGTGCCTACTCCTCCCTGCTCGTGACTGGGTTTTGCTAACTTTAACTGGCCCTTTGCAGATTGGTTGCTTTTAATCATGCACATCCAAAGGAATGCTGGGGATATGTTCAAATAAAGCTTCAGAACAAAATACTTGATGGCAAAGAACGCTAATAGCTGTGAAAAGGGGAGCAATGACATACAAATCAAGAGGAGAAGCAATTGCATGACAGAAGTTTTACATACAGGAATTGACGGTGGGCTTAAGATAGTTGCTAAAGCTTGAAAGGCTTTTCTTGTGGGTATGCATGAAATTGAGAGTAACCAGTATCAACACAGAAGAGGAATTTCTACAAATGTGGGAAAAAAAGGGAAGGTTGGAGTTCAGCTTTGCAGGAGAACTAAACCCTAGCTTTGTCCATTTGCATATCAATGTTGCTGATCTTGTACAGGCTTTCCTGGCTGCTTCCTGTTTAAATGTACTCTCACCAGCATTGCTTGGTAACACAAATTGCTAATCAGCCAATCACATGACAGCAACTCAATGTATTTAGGCATATAGACGTGGTGGCAATGACTTGCTGAAGTTCAAACCAGGAATCAGAATGGGGAAGAAAGGGGATTTAAGTGACTTTGAATGTGGCATGGTTGTTGGTGCCAGACCATTTCAAAAACTGCTGTTCTACTGGGATTCACGCATAAACATCTCTAGGGTTTACAGAGAATGGTCCAAAAATATCCAGTGATCGGCACTTGTGTAGACGAAAAAGTCTTGTTGATGTCAGAGGAGAATGGGCAGACTGGTTGCTGCGACATTCAGATGGTAGGGTCAGAATTTGGCATAAACAACATGAAAGCAAGGATCCATCTTGCCTTGTATCAACGGTTCAGGCTGGGGGTGGTGGTGCACTTGTGTGGGGGATATTTTCTTGGCATTAGTAAAGTGTACCTAATAAAGTGTCCAGTGAGTGTTGGAGCTCCCCTAGTCCTCTCCACACCAGCTCTGCTCTTAGTCCTGTTAAAGCTTATATGAGATATTATTGAATGGGTTTGGATCTACAATCCAAAGGGATTGTGTCAGGAAAATATGAAAACCTCTCAGGAGCTTGTTGAGAATTAAAGTGGACCTTCACCCACCCTTACGAGACTACCTCCCTGGCTCTCACCCCCCCCCCCATCCCCATATTCTGAAAAGCCCCCTTTTTTGTTACGGTTTACATTTTTTTTACCTACCACACCCACCCTTCCCGCTGCCATTCTTAGCTGGCAAGAATGCTCTCCTGGGATATCTACATCATAAACAGAGGTTGTTGGAATGAGCTGGTACCTGTCATCGTAAACCAGCTGCCTGAATGAACCTGGAAAATGCCTGTTCCAGGTGTACCAAGACAAAGGACCCAAGCTCATGCCTGAGCAGTGGACCTCAGCAGATCAGCACTGCTGGGCTAGGGAATATGTGCATTGAGAACCACACTGTACAACAGGTGAAAGGAAAGAAAAAAAAACACAGGGACAGTGGATGTTCCTCTTTAACGTTATGGACTGTCATACGTATTTTACCCATATAACTTTGCTCACATCTCAGAAGCTCTGCGGTCGGCAAAGATGCATTATGGCAACATTTTTTGGCCACAGAAGGGGTGGCATAAAGGGCAGCAAAAAGCTGTTTCAGGGCTCATTCACACTTGACTTTTTTTCCAACTGTTGCCAGACCCCCCTATAGCATTTGACAAGCATTGGTCTGGTGTTTGTGGAGCGTTTTTAACGCGTGGTTTACTGGCGGTTGCTAGGCGTTTGCCAAGCATTAAAAACGCCCCACAAACGCCTATAATGAAGTTTGAATGGTGTTACCATTCCTCAAACGCCTCGCAACCGCGTCACAACCGCACTGCAAATGCCGGCCGGGCGTTTGTGGAGCGGCACCATAGACTTGAATAGGAGGCTTCAACTCCTCCTGACTCGACCAGAGGCGTCCGTTTTGCCGCAACGCTAACGCTCCCGTTTGAACAGCACTAGGTGCTGCAATGTGCAGAATTTTCCCAGGCATTTGGGAAACGGTAGAAACGCTTC